ACATACAGTCATTATCTTTTTGCAGTAAATAAATATAATGTATAAATGTTAAAGTATATATAGATATTCCATGTTCGTTACATACAGTCATTATCTTTTTGCAGTAAATAATTTATAATGTATAAATTTTTAAGTATATCTAGCTATTCCATGTTCATTACATACAGCCATTACTTTTGCATGAATAAACATAATGCATAAATGTTAAAGTATATCTAGATATTCCATGTTCATTACATACAGTCATTACTTTTTGCAATGAATAAATATATTGTATAAATGTTAAAGTATATCTAGATATTCCATGTTCATTACATACAGTCATTATCTTTTTGCAATAAATAAATATATTGTATAAATGTTAAAGTATATCTAGATATTCCATGTTCATTACATACAGTCATTACTTTTTCCGATTTTATTAGATTTCTCTGAAATGTAACTCTGCCGAAATCCAGTATTGTTGTAGTTAAGTAAATACTTTATTTGAACAAACATTTATTTTTTTAAAACTTAAAATTATTGGAAACATTCAATTTTACTGCAAAAGTTATTATTGATAGATAAATTACGCATTCAGACAGTCATAACGGAATAGCTTTTTGAATAAGTTGCAACAGAGAAAATTGGGTTTTAAAGAAGTTATATCGCAATTGGCTTATAAAAATAAGAACAGTCAAGACTTGGCTGTATGGCAAAAATGTGAAACTTTAAGGTTTCCTCATCAAATGTCACGAGAATGTAGATATCAAACGTTATTAATACATTTTAACAATCGACCAAACACAGCGTTGAACCCCCAGTGGCACAGCAGTATGTCTGCGGACTTATACTGCTAGAAACCGCGTTTCGATACCCGTGGTGGGCAGAGCACAGATATCCCTTTGTGTAGCTTTGTGCTTAATAACCAACAACACTAAGCGTTGACCCAGTTTTTTCAATAGCCAGTAAAGAAAAATATTTAAAGGAAAACAAGAAGAGCGTTGTAAATTCTTTAAATGAAAATTTCTTGCCATTTGGCTGAAAGCCTAAGCATACAAAACTAAAAATTTGCTTTTTGATGTTTATACAGTCTAATGAAGCGTAGTGTGCGTTCCCATGTAATGTCAATAACAATTAGATGCCATTATCTTTAGTGTCTGACCTACTTTCTCATACTCGTAGTTTTAAAATAATGTTCCTGAATTTATCGATATTATAACATTCAAGGTACGACAGCAAAGAAAACATTGTTCTCATTATAAGGAACAACATTCTACTTTGGAAGCAATGTTAATGTTTTATCTTTTAACAAGAAATGCATTAAAGTGGAAATTACTATCCAGATTTAAAATATACAGGGTCCGTGTAACGCTTTCAGTTAAAAATAATAAATACATGTACGGGAAAAATAATAATTAATTAATTAGTGCATGCCAAAACCAGAACTTTTGATAAACAATAACAACACTATTTTGATGCACTAAACTTTCGGGTTGAATAATGATATTTCTATTTAGAATAACTGAGCAGGTTATAATTGTCTTGTATCCTGATACAGTGGCTTCCTATAATTATCAGCCACTGACGTTCTTAGCAGCGCTCGTAAATACTTTAATACATTTTGGATGTTACTTTGACTTGTACGAAAATTATCAGAACATTTAAATAAAAAACCACGAATAAAAGTTATAGCCTATAGATGCATGGGATGAGCATTTAAGCAATTTTCATTCGTTTAGTTGATATAACTTGTGGAAATTTTCATGAACCAGTAAGAGAATAGAAATGTTTGTTTATAAAAATAATTTATATTTACGCTTCCTCTTTTAGTTTTATTTTAATAAAGTATACGGTTTCCATGTTGTTATCAATGAATAATACACAAAATAAAATAAAATGAAGCACACACAATAAAAACAGATGAAAGACCATTCAACCAGAAGAAACATAAATCTCTAACGTCATTACTTCGTCAGCTGTGTCTTGGTGGGTGAAACATTAACTATAAAGACCAATTCATAAACACGTAATGAGCTTTGCTCTAGTACTTTTTGACATACTGGATTGTAAAGTTTTACACTCCGATGATGTGAGGAGTTGACATAGTATATTAGCTCGTCTATGTCATATCTTATAGTTGACTCTACATGTTGCACACGAACGAGTTTATTCCTACCACATCACCTGCTATTTACGTAACTCCAAACTGTTCATTACTACTGGTAAGCCAAAAGGTACATTAAGATGATTGAAACTATCTCTAAGATAACCAAGTTGTAAGCTAGAATATTCCTCAGGCACACTGTCAAGTTCAATGGTGGTTCATTGAAATAAGTTTCGGTTAGGACATTAAATATCTCGATAAGATTGGAGAATAATCCATCAATTCATAGTCTTGCAGAGAATTGACTTCATTTCTTTACGAACTCCTTACGAGAAATCAACTCACAATATTTCCATGACGGGAGGAGGTGAAACAAGATTTAAATAACTGAAGTTGCGCCTGTAGAGTTGACGAAATAAGAGATCAAAATTGGTAGGAACAACATTTAGATCTTCTGAAATACTTGGAATTAAGAAAGCAAATCTTACACACGCGTGAAAAGATGAGCAAGTAAGCCTTTCTTTCTAGTTTTTTTTTTAATATAATGTAATGTGGTGGTACTAAGTTTATTCCTTTATAAGGTTTGTAAAACGAGACATTCTATAGTAAAATTAATTGGTTTCACTCACAAATGAGGCTTATCAGCATATTGAATGTTATGAAAGTCACTATCCAAGCCTTTTGCTCCACTTGGAACTATTACCTTTATTGTTGACCGTGGTAAGTTTACTGGCTATGAATAAGTACTAGTACTAATGGTCGACACCACATTTCCATGTAACAAGTTATTATTAAGGACGGCGAAGTCAATCTTAGACTTCACATCTTGACAAGCTTTATACAGATACGTAACACATTAAATAAATCAAAAGCACAAAAGCATATTAAAGAGACTCGACAGTTACGTAATTCAATGACATTGCTGTAATTTAAACTTTTTCGGCCATATTTTTCATCGATATCAAGTTGTCACTGTAAACTTGTAAACTTTCATCAACTTAAAACTTTTGTTTATCATCCTTTTAACAGTAATAATTATAATATCTTTTTGAAGTCTAAAGATTCTCTTTTGAACCATAAGCCATCACTTTACAGGTGAAGACTAAGTTTAAGATAGGGTTTGAATGTGGTTTAGGAGCTCCTTGTTGCCTTAAGTGTTCTGCTGTGCGAGATTTACAGTTTCTATGGAGAACATTATATCCCCCCTTCTTCAACATATTGTGACCTTTGGCCCTAAATTTTATAAAATATCACCACATTAACGTCTTTATGGAAAGAAACAAAACGCTTTAACACATCCTAAGGCCAGGAGAGCCTATCGTAGCGGCATTGCATAGCGCTCGGTTAGGATCTCTTCTTGAATTAAATACATAAACGGTGCACACACAGAGGTTTAATTGATACGGGCAACATATGTCAGAAAATTTAGAAAGTTAAATTCACTTTCAATGACATAAAATGGTGCTGAAATTTAAATAATTCAACATATTGTAATTTCCACTGATTAGTGTTAAAAGAATACCTATCACTTGATAAAACATCTTTCTGAAATATTTTCGTTTTCAAGTTCATATTTTTAACATTTATTCAACGTTAAAAGAGAACCGACTGAATTCAGTAAAATAAACAACCGTATGAGATACTGAGGATCCACTAAACACTTTTACAATAGATATCAATCTATCAGTTACATGTGGTTCAACTATCTACAGTGTTTTTAATCAACTTATAAAATTATGCTTTCTTACCGTAAAATGCTTACACAAAAAACATAGTATCTACTATTTTATTTTAATGGTAATAACAATACAATTTAGACTTTTCTTTACCACAGCCCCCCCCCCCAAGTGGCACAGCGGAATTCCTGCGGAATTACAACGCTAGAAACCAGGTTTCGATACCCATGGTGAGCAGAGCACAGACAGTCCTATTTGTAGCTTTGTGCTTAACCACAAATAAACAAATCAACACACCACATTCGGTGACGTTTCTTAAACACGTAGTCACTGATATTGTATCACATTCACGAACAAAACTTATAACTCAAATAACACGCTGTACATTTCTCTCAATGGGTGTTCAAGGAATATTCACCAAATATAACGTAAAACTCTAACTTTACAAATATATATTTTTTTAATTTATCGATTCAACTGGAGTATTGCCACAAGCCCAATATTTATTTTTCCCTCACGTGTTTATTGAACTAAATAGAGTTGTTTCACTGGAAAGCTACTTTAAAACGTGGAGTTAAAGGAAGAGTTGTGGTTTCGGGGAAGAAGACAAATTCAAATTATTCTATAGACTCCAACACGTACAAATAAACTTAAACTAAATACGTATCGTCATTAATCACCCTCTTCTATAAATGTCCAAAATAATATAATTTTGTACAATGATTAATGGAATTGTTAGGGTTACAAAGCATTAGTATAATATTATGTCATTATAAGATAGACAGATGGAACAATGATAAAGTGAATGGACCAGTTACTTACTCAAAAGTCAGTATTTTACTTATATTTCTTGTTTAAATGGTAAGTTTAATACTGACCTAATGCTATAGCGAAACCGGCTCGATTGCATTGTAATCCTAATAATATGGTATAGACACCTATACTTGGCAGAATTAACAATACAATTAAATGTGAAAAAAAAATGATGCGCATGCAAACAGTTACTTACTCCATATTTATTTAATTATATATTTAGTTAATTAACAAAAAATGTCAAATGTAACCTGTAGTTAAGCATTCCAGTATGAACGTGGAAATGCACAATGTATTGACGTCAGAAGATATATATTTATTACAAAATTCATTGTAAGTACTCTATTCAGTTATAGTCTATACACACACTGTTATTACTGGTAACATTGTGCAATATCTTTTAAATAGATCTGCTTAAAACTCACCTTTTTTTCTTCTTTTTGTGAAATGCACGTTTAATTCTGATTAAAAGAAATGCAGCCTTGTCTAAGGTAAGGGTTTCCCTAGATTTCGAGGGAGACGGGGAGGGAGGGCTAAACCCTGTTTTTGAACCTGCCGACCACATAGAGTTCTAATATAATTTCATTAGTTGAAAATATTATAGTCTAAACTTCAGTGATCACCCCATTATTTGATAAAAATATAATTGTACTGTCCCACTAGACGTAGTATTGTACAGGAAAAACACACTTTACAGGGGTATCTTGACTTTCACACAGCAATTTATAGCAATAGAAATGACAGACAATTCTTCGCATCATATGCGCAAGTGGTGAATAGAGCAAAGCGCCTTGCTGTCGGCAAATTGAAGCGAAAGATCTGGTTTCCGTTGCTTCTTCCACCAACATTCTAAGAATTCAATAACCTTCAGCAAGTGGATCGAAGTTAGCTTTTTTGGGTCCAGGCTGATGACAGAAAACAGCTTCTTCTGAGAAATCATGAAAGCGGATGATCTTTCCTCTACCGGAAAATTCATATCCATATTTTATACCAATAATGACAAAGTTATTGAATCTTTGAGTTCTTTCAATCTTCTCTCGAAACATCCGAGACAGGCGGCTCACGCTTTCACTTACATTCACCGCTCTGGTTGCAACTCGCTAGAGGCCTCCGCTGAGTCAGGACGACACGCTTGCGTAGTAGGGTTAAAGTACGGGTAACCTGCAAGGAAAGGCTTGAGCTGTCCCATCATATTCACGATACCTGCCGAGTAAGTATTATCAGATGACGATATGACTGATTGTCGAAATTTGTATCAATCTAGAACATCGGAAACGATCTAATAGATAAAAGTAATATATATATATATATATATATATATATACATATTTGAATGTTTAACAATCAAGTATGCTGCAAACGCATTAAAGAACCAAAAATTCAAA